AATGCTTGACAAAATGTGCTATTTTCACACACAATAAAATTTCATTACATGACTGTTCAGCTTTAAAGTAGCTTCATCAAAAAAATAATCCATAAACTCTCAGTAAAAAACAGGAACTTTAAGATTTAATTAGAGAAATTATGACATTTCTGCCTCTATATTCTCACTGAAGCTTACAAATTAATGGGTAGAAAGAGTGGTCATGACAGAAAATACATCTCTTATCAAAATGATAACGAGCTACAAAATAGAGGCAGTTACTAGCCCAACCGTGTATGTTTTCTTGCATTGTTCAACTATTCTTCAGCAAACAATCTCACAAAAAGCAACACGACTAAGTAAGCAGCATGAAATGCTCACAACAAAACCCCAAAACACATTACATTGACCAGGTTTTAAGGTTTCATAAATTCAAAATTTAGTTACGGTTTTAAGAAAGTTTTGCTAAGGTTCAAACATTTTAAAAGAGAATACGGACCCAGTTTCAAACAAATCTGGTACGATTTATGGATTTGCACTGAAAATGAAAATAAAACCTGAAGCTTTGCACACAACACCCAGAGAAAAGTCTGCAAATTTTGACTTGAGTTTTGCTCTGAATTCTCAAAGCGAAACAAGGGCTGTAGACCCAAGAGAACAGAACTTTGAAAATGTGTTTGCATGAAACCCTGAGAACTGAAACCTCAGAATTTCCCACAGCTCTGATTATGAGGCATTTCTTCAGAATCTGAGGAAGACTGACTCAGTGTTAAAATTTTAAACTGCAACATACACAACATATTTCCTGTTATTATTATTGGATAACAGTGTCACAGCCCCCCTCAGGTTTAGCCCAGCCCCCACGGTGGGGTGCGGGGCAGGGCAGAGAAGAGAGGTGTGTCTGGGTCAAATTTGAGGCCCGGTCTACACTGGGGAGAGGGAGGAGGGAATCTATCTAAGTTATGCAACTTCAGCTACATGAATAACTTAGCTGAAGTCGACGTACTTAGATCGACTTACCGTGGTGTCTTCACTGCGGTGAGTCGACTGCTGCCCGCTCCCCCGTCGACTCCGCCTGCGCCTCTCGCCAAGCTGGAGTACAGGAGTCGACAGGAGAGCGCTCGGGGGTCGATTTATCGCATCTAACTAGATGTGATAAATTGATCCCCGCTGGGTCGATCGCTGCCCGCCAGTGAAGACATACCCAGAGTGAGTGGCACTGCAAATCCCATGCACTAGAGGCCAGGTCACAATGCCCAGAGCGAGGAGCCAAGCCCAGCCAGCCTGCAGGACAGGAGCCAGCTCAATTGGGACATTCTGGCTTTCTCGTGGTTTCTTTATTTCCCCCAATGTCTCGCAACTCCTCTGAGGTCACAACCCACAGTTTGGGGAACGTTAATTTAGAGAGCTATAAGAAGGTGTTCGTTAGTATTTGTACAGTGCTATGAAGAGTTACAGAAGCATTTGCTAATGGGCAGCACAAATTCATTGAAGAGGTAATTTTAAGTGTACTGTAGCAATTTGGAAACAAAATAACATTTAAAAATAAATACAGCTGCCTGTAGGAAAAAAATATCATAAAAGTTTTGTGACACTGCATCTCATTTGAAGATCTCAGTTAAATTAGGATTTCATGTTGCTGGGGGGGTGGGGATGGGTGAGAGGGGATCAATTCACCAAAGACCCATCCCAGTTAGGGAACTCTGGATTTACCAGTTTACTCCATTGTTACTACTGAAGTAAACTGGGTTCTGTGCAAACCCCAGGGGTCTGCCTGCATGGAGTCAGTTGCAGGAACAAGATCTATGTTTTTGATCACCTCTTCCATGCAGCTAAGACCACATTTATTTTAAATAAAAACCCTTTAGCAGTTAGAAGAGTTTCTGTGGTTTCCTGGGCTCTTTACCAGTCTGTATAATCACAGAGATTTATAAAACTGTGCTTACTAAAATTAATCTTAAAAATCAATAAATAAATAAATGTGGGTGTAATACCACAAAGGAAAATATGCCCATAAATGGATCACACAGTAATGACTGTTATAAGAACATTACAGGATATGCATCAGCACAGAGAAAAACAGGTCGACTCAAAATACATTAAATTATTCTCTTATTTTTTCAGACTTCAGCCAAGTGATGGAAGAAGCTTCCTGCTGAAATTGCTAAAATGCAATAAATACTTACAGTGAATAAGAGCTTCATTCAGGTTGTGTGACTGGTGCTAGACATTCACATTTTACAGCCTGATTTAGATAGTTCCCTTCTCTCCATTGATAAGTTTTTTTCTTCCCTATGAGAGCCTCTCAGCATTTGGGGAATTGTGTGTTTGATATTTAAGACATTTAAACAAACTAATTCAGTAATTAACACTGTACAAAACTAATCTATTTGGAAACTAGTTCCACACCTTTCACACTGTGAGAATACACACCTAAAAACATTGAAAAGGATGTAAACTGGTGTCAGATGCACCAATGCATTCTTACACCTGATTTCCAGAGGAAAAGAAAAAGCGTGGCTTTATCTGTCCTTTTATTTTCTTCTGGCAGCCATGCACAGGTGAGTGGATCCTCAGGAACTGGCATCAGGAAGATCCTTTCACAAACTGTCCATCAAAACAGGGTTGGGCTTAACCTGCAATATTCAGATCTGGATTTGAAATCCTCCTTTTCTTCCCCTCTTCCACAAAGTTCAGGGATGTTCAGAATTAGGAATGAAACAAGGGAATCAGAAAATGCTGCTTGCCCACGGTCCTCGGTAAAGCAAATAACTGGAGGGGAATTTTCTTGAAACACAGGAATCCTGGGGGCTCAGGGTCATAGTCCTTGACCCACTTCTAGTCAAGTATGTCATGGCTGCTAAAGCAGTATTGTAGTCTAGACAGGGACCTTGCCTGCACACCCATAGCTAAATTCTCTGGGTGAGGGCAGGAGATACCCAAACTCTCCTCTTCATTGCATCTGTCCATCTCTGTGAGGAAGTTTTGGAGTGCAAGGGAAAACAAAAGCCCTGGAGTTCAATGTAAGCAATGCTACAGGAGTAGCAAAGGTGCATTTTGTTCGACTTTAGGCCTTATGCACAGAGGGAAGGACAGACCACTCATGGGGTGTGAAAGAAGGGGTAGAAAAGAGGACTGCACAGAGGAAAGGAACAGAGGAGAGTGGAAAAGGTTGGATGACCCCCAGGTCTGCCCTCTAACTCAATGCCAATGTGTTCCTTCAGCTGTTGATAGAGCAGCAACTCCTTGAAAGTCATCCATTTTTGGCCCTCTTCCCAGATTCAGTGAGAAGCTGGTCACATGAGCAGTTCACATGTACAGGACTATGTGCTCAGGCAGCGGCCCACAGGCCCAGGATTCTCTCTCCCTTCCCATAGTACTCATTTAAGGAACAAAAATATGTATGTCCTGGCTGCCAGGAGCCACCAAAGGATACCCCACCAAGCATCCTCTGCTGAAGAGGGATATAGAGGCATAAGATAAGGCAGCAAAGAAAATATTGAAAGAGAAGATATGGAAAAGAAAAGAGAACAGAGGCAGAGAAGGGCAAGCATGTGAAAACTGGCAGGAAAAAAGACGGCAAATACTTGTTTTAAATAAAGGGAGATCGTAAATATCACTCACATTATAAAGCCACCATTACACCCATGTTGGCAACCTCAGCAGTGAGGACAAGGATTAAATGGACATAGAATGTGAATTATGCTCTCACCCCATGACTTAACCTACACTGGCCATTTTAGGAAAATCTGCCACGTTTACCTAAACAATGAGAGATCTGTTGACAGAGCATGTTTAAAGCCTTTAAAATAAATGAAGAAAGATGAGGCAAGGAAATGATGGTGGTGGTGGGCGTACTGTATCTCAATAGTTCAATAAACTCAATTCATGAGCAAAAAATTTGAATGTTAAGGAGATACTAAATCTATAGACACTGCATCCAAATATATACACCCATGGTGTGTGGGGCGGAAGGAAAAGTCTCCAGAGAAATGTTGGCTTCAGCAGTTTGCATATTTGCCATCGGTTTTCGTCCCAAAAGTTGCTTATTAGTCCCAAGAAACTTCACATACACACAAAGTCCTCCTGTTTTCTACATACAGATCTACATAATCTCCTATGAAGCTACAGAAATTTGTGACCAAAATTCTCTCTCTCGGGTTTTTACAAGCCTTTATCACTTTGATACCCTGGGGAAAAAGTCACATTCCTGCTAAGACAGGACAAACTTACCTGTGAGAAAAATTCTGTTTAACTACCTGAACACTTGCTTTCAGCTTTTCACATCACCTTTATGAATCAATGCATCATATAATCCCAAGAGATACTTTGCATGTCCGAGCCAAAAATCAGATAAAATTAGTGTAAACTTCTTCTACATTGTGACAGTTTTACAAGCTAGGAAACTAGAACGATCATCCCAGTCACTCTCCAGCACAGTTGGTCAAGGCCAATGAAATCTAGTCAGAATTTGGACCATGTTATATAGCTAATATAAAATAGATATTAATCTGGCCAAAAGACAGACCGGAGATGCCAAGTAAGGAAGTTGCATCCAGTTTGGGAAATAAAAACTCCCAATAAAGTCCCTTCAGTTGGAATATAAGCTGCTTAAGTAAGGTTGCTGTTAAAGCATAAGACTGTTGACCTATCATTCTATTTCTTTTTCTTCCTTGGCAAACAGCATCCTTGAGGCAACCTGCCTGCCTACTTTCATGTTCAGTTGGAAAGAGGAAACACCAGAGAAGAACAAAGTTATCCTAGTGGCAGGAAAATCATTTGTACATATCACTAATCAAAGATTCTTGAAAGGAAGCTTGTAACCCTGTTTTAATTAGTTCTCTAGGAAATGAGTATATATCCTCAAATCTTGAAGAGCAAATTTAATCTGTAAACCAGTTCTGCTGAGGAGACAATTATTGTCCTAGTGGAGTAGGCAGTAAAACATGCTTATTTCTATTCAGATAAACATCTAAATGATTTTTATTTTCTAAGAGTTATTTACCATAACAGTAACTCACCACTTCATGAATGGATCGATTGAAGCCATCATCCTCTGTAAGGATCAACAAAATTATAAGAGCCATGTAAACATGGTGTGAATTCCTTTCTTCAACATGATAGAGAATCTCAAGAATTGGCAAAACCTTGAGGAGAAAAATACGAATGCATTAGTTTAGCCTTTCAAACATCACAAACAACAAACACAGAAGGTTTTAAACCCTCCTTGTGTCACCCTATCCTTTCATAATATCCCAGCATCCTTTCCCTCCTGAAACAACCACGCCTAACTACTGATGTAAAATGCTCAAACACCTTCCACCTGCTTTTTATGTCTTTGTGAGAGTCATTAATAGTCTAAACATATTCTTTCTTGTAGTGAGACGCCGAATGTTAACTCCTAATAAATGGAATTCCTAGCCAAACCAGTTACTATAAGGCTCTGAAAATTCGATCTCCCATCTGACAGAAAAACTGTTTGGTGAACCAAATTTATACCAGTTCACGGCTAACTCAGTTGAAACACAGTTTGCCTGGCTACAATACTCAGGGTTCAGTCATCTTCCTCACAACATTTTACAAAGGTTTAGTCAACACAGAACTATGGTTTGAAATGGTTATGTCCCATCCATCATAGTTAGACAGTGTTTGAACTGCACTATTCAGAATCATGGTAAAATCAGAGGAGGGCCAAAACTGGCACCTTAATCCAAACCTCTTTGAATTTCAAGGGGTGGAGGTGATCAAATTAGAATCCCCAGATCTGAAAACCAATCTGGGTTGGATCCAAAACCAGTAAAAACCTGTTTTTCCTATTCTAATTCATATACTGCCAGTGTTTCAGTGTTCCCATTCTTATGAAAGTTCAGCCCAAGGTCTTGCAACATTTCCACCGAGATGGCCAGCTTGAGCCAAAGTCCTGCAAGACAAGCTGACAAGATTTCATTGCCACAGAATTAGTACCTGAACTCTAGTCTTGATTTGTCCCCAAACTCCAGCCTAAACTTAATCCAGATGCAAATACTGTCTCTTCACCATCTCTTTGAATATTAGCTGTACCCTGGCTCAGTAAAATTTCCCCTTCCCATTATTTCTAAAATCACAAAATAATATAGTAAAGCGACTTCAGAAAATTCTTATTTCCAAGACTGAATGAGGCACAGAGAACTCTTCCCAAGAGATTATAGATGCTTAAAGACTTAGCTTGATGTTTTAAAAAACAAACCGAACGTAGCAGGATGAATCATGTGAAACCTTTTCTGGTGACCAGCCAGTACTCTGAATGCATCATATGCCTCTAAAATTACCAGAAATGTTCTGTTATAATCACCAAGTTCCAAAACAGTTTGTTTTGGCTAGACACATTAAAGACATTTTTACTGTTTTTTATAAAACCAGTGGGTTTGTCTTTATGTGCTTCTGGCACATACCTTTTCTGGGGCACATTAACCAGGATCAAGATAACACCACAGGAAAGAATGAGACTTTTTAAAAACACTTTTTTTCCATCATTAGAACCAAACATCTTTCTCTACAAATTCAGAAGTTAGGGATTTCAAACAGCCACTTCTTTGCTGTTAAAAACAGTAAATTTTTCTACATCCTGCAACTGTAGGGATTGAGATTTTTTTCTCTAAACTATATGATCACTGAGACAAAGACCACTTTTTTTTAATAACGTTTGAATTGCAGATAGCACAATATCAGTGCTAAAAATAAAAGATATTTATTTCCCCCATGCCTCAGTGGGAAGTGGCTTTCCCCATATCCTTGAGCAAACGGCTCTTCATTTTCATCTATCCCTATATACAATAAGCACCATTGTTATGGCTGTAATGGACACAACTCTCATCAGCATTAGATGCCACTACAATTCCTTCATTAGAAAGTCAGCATTTCTGTTAAGGAATGTGAGACACTCATCTCCCGGCTCCAATCAGAATCAATGTGTTCTGTGCTACCATCCAGGAGAACTGGTCCTCTAAACTTGTTCTCCTGGCTTCAAGGCAGGAGTTCCTGGGAATGCAACCGAGAGAGAGAGAGAGAGAGAGAGAGAGAGAGAGAG